CCAAGTACATATTAGCTGGCGTTTTGATAGAACACGAGGTTAAAGGCATGGTTGTCTGGCTACCCAATAAGTTATTTCGTCAGAGGTATGACAAAGAAATAAAAAATAACGCCGTGTTGAGTACACAGGATTAATGAAGTCAGACGGAACAGACTCGCTGAGGATTGTTCTCTCTAAAATAGTTCGTCGCTGGTCCAAGTCAGTGCTTAAGCAATAATCCAATTCTGAACAATTGCCACACTTTCCATTCCAAAGGTAGTCTGAAATGTTGTCATACCAGAGTTAGCACATGAGACTCGCGCGAGCAAAATCAGAAGAAATTTGGATAAAGTGACCATGTTTGTGATGTGTAAAAGTGTACAAATGTGCGTTTTTCTAATTTTTCGTATTCAAACAAAAAACAGCTCTGTAACTGACAAAATGCGTAATGCTATAATGAAACCAAAAGAAAGATACAAAACACCACAAATGCATCCCATTGATAGCGGTTTTTCGGTAGGCATCGAGAACGGTCGGAATATTCGTAGGCTTTGAAAGTATCTGACAGCCTTGTTGATGTTCCGTAAATTCCTCTGTTTTTCGTGGCCTTGCCGTTAACCCAAACCTAGTAGGAGGGCATATTTCGGGTTCAGATTACTCATATGTAAATCTTGTTACACTAGTAGGACCCTTTCATAACAAGTACAATTGGAGGACGTTTGTGGAATGGCAGGTATGCATGTGTGTTTTGTGAGGTTGTTGGGGGTTACAACTCTGGTCGGGCTCACACAATGTCCTTCCTAGATCCTTCCGCAATTCTTTTGGGCCTGCGAGACAGCCCCGCTTTATGCTGCCGTAGACCGTGGGTGGATTTTAATGGTATTTCACTTGCTGACACCCCTGTTCAGTTATTTATTATTATTCGTCTTCACCACTGAATAGCTACATATGAGTAGAATCTCCTATGGCAAGACTTTTTGACTTCCCTGAATAAGTGGCCGGCACTGATCAGGTAGTTGTGCTTACTGCTGCTGGAACAGTTGCGGCGTTTGAAAACTGAATAATGTGCGGAGAGTCCCTTCACAGACCACCTCGTTGGTTAATAAGGAGGCCACCAACATTGAAAAATTCCATTTTTGACGCAGCCACCGTAGGTTCCGTAAATTTGGATTTGACCGATTTTTTACTACTTAATCTACACTTGTTTGTTTCAGGCCTTCCGGAGTTTTGTGGCCCATTTATGTTCATTCTGGAGTTGATTATGGAAAGTACCTATATTTTTAATTTGCGTACGCTATTCCTTTAAAACCTACAGCTTTTGCACCATTTCTGGTGCAAAGTTAAAACTTAAGGACGCCGGTGTATCAAATTGAAACAAAAGGTGCACCAAGCAAACATATACTTGGTCAGTCAACGATCAGTATCGAGGAGGAAAGGTATGACACCATTGGCCGTAAATGCTAGGTGACAGCAATCTTGCTTCTCTAGCTATCACACTTTAGGACTCAGGTGGCGTTATGTCTGGGATGTATTGTCTCGTCTAGCTGAAGAGGCCTCTGAGGAAACTGCACCTGTAGATGACTTAAACATTATCAAAGTTCGATGCGAATGCATTTCAGCGCATACCCTATTAGCATACCTGTCGACGAATCGTCAACGAGAACAGCATTGAATTTTGTTCGGCACTCCCTTGGCGATTTTATTAGTTATTACCAAAATAGAGGCCGTTTTCATCTGCTTCAAATGGAGCAGCTTGCATCCTGTCCATGACATGTAGCAGACACGATGTCAGGATGCCATGAATATTCTGGTATACCACCGCTGGTACATCCTGGAAGAACCGTCATTGCCTGATAGCTGACTACGGGACTGCTGTCCCGCCTCGGTGTACACGCGCAAACTTGGGGTTGATATGGCCCTTGAATTATATGTAAGCCGAGCTCCAAAAACCTGTCCAACAATAAACCTGGAGGTTCATGAATATACAGCGCCCGCTTGGCTAATGCTTTCGGCTTTTTATGGCCGCTTGCGCGGTATTCGGAATTTTCGCTCGACATTTTGTCGCGTCCTGATTAAAGTTCTGTAGGGTCTATCAAAGTCGCCGATACTTGTAGCTCTGAAATTTGTTCTCGCGTAACAAGCGCGACAATTTACAGTGATTCAACATGGCTTAAATGTAGGTGTATTTGTGAGAATTCTATGAGACATCTGACACCACGTCACCGGGGTCTTTAATGTCGCCATGTTGTCAGCGATTGGATAGATTCCAGTCCAACTTTCCACTAAGAACGAGCTTCATTGCAAAGCAGAATATTGTAAAAAGACAAGAAACCTGTGGGGCACGTGCGCTTGAGATGTCTGGTAAGGAGGCTTTGAACACTGCTAAATGTCCAGAGTTTTCGGTTTGCCTGCAGTTGACAGCCGTCCATTGTTGATTCCCCCTGTGAATCAACGACGAACCGCGGTAAATTTCCTTGTCTTCTGACTACCCGTGAGTAACATGACTTACACCTGTTTGTTATGAAACCGTTCCGTTTTCTTGCTGCTTGTTTTCCCCCTGTTTCGTTCATACTTACGGTCTGCTTGTCCCTCAGTGACTGATGTCAATGTTTTGTTGCCCGTCTGTCATTGCTTGCAAGTTCGTTTCGATTGCACCTGTTTTTGAGCACCCATTCCCATTGAAAAGCGGAACAATCGGGTATCGAACCCAGAGTCCCGGACGGCAGGCGGACGCGCCACCAACTACACCAACCTGACGCCCGGAGTGGCTGATTATTTTGCATTACCCATGTACTGCACCTGCCAGATAACCTTTGCCAAGATTTGTTTTAAACGGGCGAAACCGCGCAGTCTGACCTGTCACGTAACACGAGCAGCCGCATCGACGCTGACCGAAAGATAGTCCCTCACATCCCAAACATACTGACTGCTGCGCCGTTACGGCCAATTCACACTGTCAGACTGCCCCGATATGTATGTTGTACATCGTTTGGTAATTACTTGTTATTGACTCTAGAAATCCGTGCTGAGTCAGTGACTATCTCCTGCTCCTGCTGACTGTTGATTGTACGTTTGCTTAATTCATGATGCTTACTAATCCGTTTGTCTGTAGAACCAGTTCCTGTCAGTCCTCAGTATATCATCTGCTGCCCCACGTCTGTCTGCTCCTATTGACTACTGGCTACGAACTGCGTATAATCTAATAGCCGCAATCATCCTGTGAGATCCATAGCCCATAGCCACGAAAAGAGAGCAATGGCTGCTTAAATTTGTGGGAAGCCTGAAGAAAAAGATGTCCCTCCATCCAGCTCCATGCAACTCTTTTTGGCTATCAACGCACATACTTGGAGTGTGACTTCTGTTTGTAAACATCTGGAGTAGATTAGACCGAATCCACATTTGGCTGGCTGGCAGATGTAGTTGTGTTTCGTCCCAGGGGATTAAGCAACAGGTCTCCTGTTTGAGCCTATTTAGGAACCACATCTAAGTGGCTCCACAGATCCTCGAAGTCCACAAGAACCTTGAAAATCTCAAACTCACCTGCAATCAAACCTCTGTTTGGAAGCAAACGGCTAGGTCAATGACATACATGGTGTCGCAGCCATCAGCCGTCTGCCGGAAAGGTACAGCCAGTCCATTGAACACACCACCAGAATGAGCAGGCCAATCACGAAGACAGCAAAAACAAGGGAGACCCATAAGTTTACCAGGGGGTCTTCTGCTGTTGTAGAACTGTGCGAGGACGAGTTTCGAAATCTATCACAGAAATGTGTCTACCGAAAAATTCAACTGGCCATCCAACTACTTGGCCTCATCTTGCATATTTTTCTGGCGTGCCCGGTGGGAGGAAATGGCACATGGGATGAAATGCTTTTAGGATAACTGAATAATATATTCAAACGCAACTTTCTTACCAGACCATGCCATTGTGAGCACACACAACCCGTATTGCCTACTTCGAGGCTATAATTTAACACCGTCCAGTTTCAGTGCGTCAGTTTCACTTATAATCTGACAGAAAATATCGATGATAATGTTTCACCGGAGCTTTCACTTCTGCGATAATCCACGCTATGCAATCAGTTACAGGCCTCTTACTCACAGAATCAGTAGTGTTAAGAAAGCATTCTCGTCTAACCAAGGGGCGGACTCATTGCCGAGAGCCCCAAGGACTGCTTGAAGGCCTTTTATTTATATTACAGCGGGTTAAGTAGGTTAATGTACTACTTTTAAAATGTTGCCCACAAAGTTTTATGATCATCCAGTCTCGACGGGTAGCTAAGTTTGTTCACTCAGGACTCACACCGACTTCACAAAAGCATTCTAGCAGGTCCCATAGGCTCCACTCCTCCAAAAGCCCCAGTCTTATGGGATTCAGGCGAAAATTCTACGCCAGATTGAGACGTTTTAAATAGACGAACCAGCTTTAATGCGACGTTTTCAATCACCATCCTTAGTAAAAACCAGAAGTTGATCGCTGCGGGACAATCGGTGTTAATAACCGTTGCAACTTTTACATCGTCCCATAAAAGTTTGAGGACTCGAAAGGCTGTCCTTATCTGCTGATCTCTTCGATGTGTAGACTCACACGGGCTATGGTGATGAAGCAGGACTACAACAGGATGTCCATCGCAGTGGGTATTTTAGTATTTGAATTCACGTCACTAGTTGGAAAAGTTATCCTTCTCTACTGGTGCCAATATTCTGGTTAACAGTGAATTTAACTTTCACTCACATTATAGCTCACTAATTTTGCGCATCCTGGGCTGCGCCAGGTTCCGCCCTTCTTGAGGCTCATCAGCTAGGCGCAGCCCCCAAGTTTCCGTCAACATTATGTTCCATTTGAAAACGAATTGCACGAACATAAGATTGGCGGAAACTCGGGGACTGCGCCTACCTGATGAGCCACAAGAGGGGTGAAACCGATCGTGGGCTGTCGACGTATTTTCAGCAACCTTATGAGTAGTAAATTACGAATATATATGTATCGCGACATCTCGAATATCGCAGCGACTGAAACATTAGGCGGCCTGGTGCAGCACATTCAGTTGCCTAGAGACATCCCAAACGAGAGATTCAGCTGGATTCCAAGTGAGTCTCTTGAAAAACCAAATCAGTTCGCAGATGAGTGTATTTCGCTAAGAACGATGTTTCATTTTAGTATGGTTCTCTTTCAATCGTATTTACTGTTACTGACTATCTCGTTGTATATGTTGCTGTTTGGTTACAGAGCTATCTCTAAGTGTGAATTCAGTGTCACCCAACCATTTGGTGGTTACTGAATGATGAACGTCTCAGAATTTAATCTCCATTTCCACAAGCAACGTTACTTTTGGAATATACAACTAATATCTACGGTATTACATAGCAAAGACCTTATTTGAATACATATTTTGAATAGGTTCTCCATGCTACACTTAGTACAAGTACCTTAAAACACACCTGGCAAAAAGATTCCACCGGTTTTGTGCGTGATCTCTGACTGTTTACATTTAGGTTTAGGCTCAACTCGAACTTCACAAGTGGCTGACAAGGGAAGACATCCTAATTTTCAGCGAAAATTATGCAGAAAGTAAGCCTTACTCTAATTGGTTGTCAGGATAGCCAGTGCAGTCAGATTCTGTGTAAACAGTCAGATGTTCCTGATATAAGATATGATGGTTCGAATGCAAGAAGTCCTCAATAACACCTGACGTTTAGGATAGAAACGAGGTCATAGCCGGGTAATCTTATCCATACAAGTCCTTCCAATTCAGAACCGGTCCACGGAAACTTCAAGTAATAAGCTATAATAAAAAGTAACGTTCTATGCCCGGGATGTTGGTATTGAGTCGGGTTTTTATAGAAAAGTCCTGACACAGCGTTCACGTGAGGTTTTTATAGGCATTTCCTGAAACAAAATATCAGTAAATTCGGCGATACTTTTGAAGGAAACATTTTCAACCAGGAATTGAAAACAGCTGTCATCATTCAAGTGGTGTCGGTGACCAAAGCCACTAAAATGTCAACGAAAAAGTATTTCATAGTGGCCAAAATCTGGGACCACCCGTACAGAAATAAAGTTAAACATGTCTGAAACTTAGAATGTGCAAAACAAATACTAAAGTTGACTGAAAGTTGCTCCGTCGAAATCATTGTTCCACTTTTCACGTAATGTATGATTCCTGTTTGGACAAGAATATTTTTGACGTGGTCGTAGTTCACCTGGAGAAAGTGACCATTTCGAGTCCAAATACTACCAAATGTTTTCAATTAAGGCGGTTGTGAATACCATTTATCAAACCGGTACTTTGATTTTTGCAGAGGCAGCTGACTCGGTACCCAAAGTTTTTGAGTGGCAATGCATTCGAGCATTAGGTTAAAGGTAAGGGAACGCCTCCTACTTCTAGGTTGAGGCCGAGGCAGACCAGGTCTTTGTCGAGTTCCTCGTACGAAGTTGATTACAATTCTGGTTGATTTTAAAAGATTGCGGAGTGTGAAGCCTCAATCGCTAGCTTCGCCGGATATTTTACATCAACGTTTCTGAACTCTAGAGCGTCTGCGAAATTTGCCGCCGTCAGACTACAAATTTTGTGGTAATTTCTGATAGTAGCGTAAAACCAGTTGCTCTGTTGCCATCTCAACCCTGCTAAAAACTCCAACTCGCGTTGGAACTGACGTGACCTACCACAATTAAAAGGTGTGAGGGAAAACTGCGTTACAACCAGGTTGCTGGAAGAAAGTTGCTTAGAGTACGGCTTTTCAGTTTCAAAGACTATCTAGTCTTTTCCATGCTATCTGAAAGCAGTCTTGTGCACTAAGGTCCTCTGACCGTTTGAAAAAACAGGCAGTGTCACTTGAGATATAGTGTGCTTCTACTTCGACCCGAAACGTTATGATGCGGTACAACAAGAGCTATATTCCTCGCAGAGGAACTATAATAATTGAAGTTGATAAATTTGTCTTTTTAATTGCCAGTCTAAGGATGTCGGATGATATTGTGAAGCCTTATATAGAGGAAAGACGCCCAAAGGCTGCCCGAGTGGTATAGTGGCTACATTTTCGCGTTGAGAGACACATGGTCAAGGCAGGGAAAATTCTTGAAGCTTGAGCCGAACATGTTTCCCTCAAACATGAGTTTCACAATACACCCCATAGGAAAATGAAGATGAAATTGCTTTATTTAGTACTCATCCAAGGTAGGACAAATTTTAGTGGCTTTACTCTTATGGCACAAACGAGGTGTCACAAATCCAACTAACTGTCTTTGATCTGATGAACTGAAAAGCACACGAAAGATGAGCCAACAGCCCGGTTTGTCGCTCTTGTCAAAACTCCTCATTCTGAGATGATGGCCAGTTGTGCACCTATGTGTGTACAACTCTACACTGAGGGATGTGAAGCAAAGTCACGTTCTGTTGACGATTTTAGCCGACTTCCACTTAACTGCTACATCTCCCGGGGGCTTTAGCAATTCAAGATGTACTATGGTCACCGAAAAGCGTCTGGATGGTCATTAATTCACTTCAGAATTTTTAAGCCAAACGAATGCTAAGTGACTCGCTTATACACACGCTGATTGTTTCAAAGGGCTTTTATCTACTGACACACTGAAGCAGAATCAAAGCCGCAAACCGAAGAATTCATGTCGGCGCTTAAATATATGACTATTCATAAAATGTTTGCTTTCAATCAACTTGTTTATGCAGGCACAAGATTTGCTCAAACATAGGGTTGAATGGGTAGTGGGGCAACTTATCCTGCGGCCTAGCAGGGATTAACCCAACCATCCCTCAAAGGATGGACCAAAAGGTGACCTCGTGGGTACGGAAGGCTAGTCTCACCCAAGAGACTTGCCTTGAGTAAGTACCTGCTCTTGGACGAAAACTTACCTTGTGTCCTGATTAGGTGGCTGTTCACCTGTTCAACGGTCTTGGCGCTTGGCGTACACATGTCTCGCCATGAAGCGGAGAGAGGGTTTAGTTCATGACTGGGTACCAGGACTCATTTCCTCTAATTAATATTGCAAATATCATTTAAGAACGCGCATCCATGCTTCTTATCAACGGTTGGGACACTGTGAGCAATTGTGTTCGACTTATTTGTCAAGGCACTACGGATAATCGGAGGACCTGCCACTTTTTCGGAAAATTTAGGTTTGGGGATTAGCGTGATATTTTCATGGACCTTACACACCAGCTCTGGGGTTGTCATGCCTAAAGGACTGTGAGAAACATAGACTAGAACGAAAGTAAGTTAAAGGTTTAAACATACTTTATTTTTTTTGAGTAATTTCCAAAACCACAAGAGAAACAAACAAAACACCGTAACCGGTAATCTGACAATAAATAGCCCAAGAAGTTCAGAGTTAGTTCCACATGCCCTTTGTGTCCAGCTGCTCACCATCAACGCCGACGGGAATCTTGAAATATTCCGCACAACGCCTGTAGTTTTTTATCCGTCTGGTCACTTTCTTGTCTGCATCAGATGCCCCATTTTCAACGGCATTTCCTTCTAGGCCCCCATTAATTGCCATAATCGTGCGTCCAAAGCCCCAGGGTTTGAGGCTGCTGAGTTGCTTGTAGATCACATTGTGCGGATTATGACTAATTCTCCAGTCTGGCTGAGTCATCCAAAACCAGATGGCTGCCGATATGCCAAGTTTGGGTTCATCCAGAAGTCGGTCAGGATCATACAGAAGCACCTGAGGATCACCATATACAGCTTTGCTGAAATCCCCATAATTGTATCCCCAAGATAGCTGTAGCGGTCCACGGCCATGGTATGATGCGGAGTTAAATCGTAACTTCCCAGCCAGCTTTGTGGTGTTTCTGAAGTAAACGGGTGTATTCCCCATTTTGTAGGTAGTGCGACTACCAACCGAGCGGTAAGCTCCATCCCAGCCTCCCTGTGTACGTTCATACCCAAGCTCTTCACGATAGAACAGCCCATTCTCGCCCTCACCAGTTTCGTGAGCTATGTTTCCAAGAAAGGCACAGAGTTCCCGTTTTCTATCTTCCAAAGATGTTCCTGGCTCATTCAAAAACTTGCCATGGCCACTCGCCTCCATAGACTTAACAGCCTCGATGAAGTTCTCGTACGAGTAATAGTCAACTTCCATTTGCGGATAATACCAAGGCTGTTGTGGCGTGTAATACAAATGCCAGAGGGGACTCTTGAACCAACGGTTTGGGAACAGTGCGTCCCAATCAGCTCTCGTCAGTAGCTGTTCCACTGGACTAGCTGAAATTTATAGAAATGGAGGAGAGCTTGAGGTTACTTTGACTTATGGACTGAGAATGGGTGCACTTGGTAGCATTATGTAAAGCGTTCAGAAATATACTGTAAAGTTTCAGCAGTCGAAGAACTGCGGCTGTTCAGATGAGGAAGGTTGTGTTACCAAAAACACTGGATTTTGATTGATCTCAAATGTTCGGCACTGAGTTGTCTAAAAGATGGCGTGATGTCAAATTGTCCTGTTCCCATTACAGCTAATTTCACTTAAGGTATTTTGAACGGCCATTGGTTCTACAACTAAACAAAGCCGGTTACTGACAAGTTCCTGAAACTTATCCGTACACTACAGCTAGCTATGCGCCACAGCGCAATTCTGAGTCGTGCGATGCTCTGATCCAAGCGTCCAACAGTTGCTTGAAGTAAACAATGGATTGTTGCATTTCCAGCTTTTGGTTACATACCTTTGTAGCTTCTTCCCTATGTTTGATGTATTTGGTGCCTCCGACTAGCCAATTTTAAACAGGAAAACGAGCTTTGGGTTCAGCAACACTGCAAGTCTTTTTCTCAGGTTTGCTGCACTGGTCACTGACAAACAAACTACCCGTAACAAGCTCAGTTGATGTTATCTGCGACGAAGTGTGACAGAACATCAAGGAAAGAAGTGAGTGCATTGTGGTCTTTGCTCGGAATGAAACTGTATGGTAACTAGTATCTGATGAACGACGTTAGTGTGGACATTCCAAATGGATTTTCCTTATTTGGAAATGAAATTCCTGAAGCACTGTTACACCACATCGACCATTCACAATGCTTAAGCAGGAAGCGATTTCAAGATCTGTAATTTTTTCAACGATTCGATTTTAATGTGGGGGTCAGTCGACTAGAATTATTCGCGGTTCGCATGGAACCCTTCAAATATTTATTTTTAGGGACGCAAAATATGGAATGGTTGTCATGCAATGAGATTGTAGTATGCTTGCTTGCGACTTTGTTTGTTAGCAAGACAACTTTTTGGCAATGGACGATTTAAACTGCACATCACTTACTTCCTGCTGGCGGTGTGGCACCTGGAGCAATAGGAATTGGAAAAAACAAATATGCGTGTAAGTCAGTGAAACTCCTGCGCAACCGAAACGGGCTCCGGTCTACTTGTTAACCACCGAGTCCTAGTTTAGAAGAACAGTTCAATAGAGAGAACACTCAGACAACAGATGATTTATTCAAACAGTCTACAGGTGCGCTTTTTAAGGTTGGCAGTACTATCTAGAAACCGGTATAAATCATACACATATACACCATATACGTATACATCATAATCACTATAGAATTACCAGGCGTTGGGTTTGTTGTAGGCATAGGTGTTGTCCTGGACGTCGTCGCTGGAGAACACAAAGAAAACAATAATGGCGTTAATCAGTAGAACTGTACTACTCGGTCATTCTAACCAGGGCACTCTGGCCTATTTGTTCAGCTGGCCGGAGATAGGTGATGTTAATTTCAGGACTGTGGCGTATGTATCGACCATGTAATAAGAAAGACACTCAGAACACACTTAGGTTTACCGATCGCGCATGCCATGTACCGACAGACACTAAGCGAAGTGATCAGCCTTGGTAATGTTACTTATTTGGATAAACTCTTGCCCTTATTCATTGAGTTCTGCTCGGTTACGTTAAGCTATCAACTATACTATACTGTGCTATGCTATACTAAACTGTACACCACATCATACCATATTCTGCCGTAATATAGTATCCTATACTGTACCATATGACATACATATAATGCAGAGGGTAGCTGACCTAGGGTGGAACATCAAGCAATAGAATCGATGAACCCGGTTGCACTGTATGCCGACGGAAATTCAGTGTCACTTAGGGCGACAAGGACATTCGTGGCATGTCTCATCACTCAAGGGAAATTTCTTAGTCCGAGAATTTCAAAGATGACTGGTAAAAGTTTGTCAACTTAGCTTTAGGCGGGAGATAACTACACAAAGAGAGCCAAAAGGAACCTGAAGTTCCACACAGAAAACCAACTGTTTGGTTGAACTTAGTGCTGTCCGTCTCCTTTTTGGGGTAGCAGAACTGACAGCAATTTCGATGACGTGCACTGCAAAATCATTAGGCAATTACCGGGCGTTGGTTGGGTTGTCGGCATAGTCGTTGTCCTGGACGTTGTTGCTGCAGAACACAAAGAGAACAGTAATACCGTTAATCAATATAGCACATCAACACTGAACGGAGATATTCAGTTCAGTTCGCCGTGAAAATGAAGTTGATATGCAAATGAGTGTATTTGCCGATGCATAGCTTTACTAGTTTTACTAGAATTGGGTTCTTCCAACTGGTATGCTGACCTTGTGATGTTGTCGTGGTTCTGGTTGTCGTTCTTGTCGTCGCCGTGCTTGTTGTGGGACCTGAAAATAAAGTAGAAGTCAGACTGTACTGGGTGGTGAATGAAATTGTCTGTAGTTTCGGAACTGTGTCGTGTCATGAGCTTCCATTGATCGCCGACACGACAAGCAGTTCAAAGGCTACCCAATGCAGACACCGGTACTGAGTTTCGGAACCCTAGTTGGTTTAAATTCCCTGGTTCGGTGAAACACAGACATTCAGCAACGCAGCCTGCCGTGAGCTAGGAAGACAGCCTGTAAAAGGCCAGAGAAACCCTGGACATTTTCTGCTTAGAACACCGAGTGAAGCAAGTACGTCATTTGCATAAGCCACACATGAAAATTTATGCAGGGCCGACCAATCCTTCACTATGGTTTAGCTGCATCACTGCGGTGTTTTAAAATGAGTATGACCGTCACCACTTGAAGACCAGTCACAAATGATCATGATGGCTTCCATACATGCATCGATTTTGTATACCAGCCGCATTTTGAGCTATAACATCAGTCATTTAGCAAATGGAACAACTGGCCGTGTTGTGGAATTCCTGACTTTGTAGCACCGGTTCTTGTTTTGTGTGTAGTCGCTTGGCGCAGCAATGGGCGAAATAACGGAGTCGTGATCAAAGTTGGTCCAGTGAATGCCACTATAGCGGAAGGATGAGGCATGCCTTATTGGCAGGCGTGTTAGTCTAGTTATTTTTGCCATAGTGTTCAAAGTAAACGACAAATAACCCCATTTAATAGAACTGTGATGAGTCAAACAAAGTGGGTTTATCAAATCCATACTCAAGTTGCTATGAATCTCATGATCAATTTTTAGTGGATATTTTGTCCTGCAAGTGAAACCAGTCAGCGCTGTAGGGCGGAGAAGCTATTTCATGTTTACTAGGAGTCATTAGTAGAGAACAACTCACACACAACACTCCGTAGAGTTTGGAGACCGCAACCTTCCGGCTAGTGGTTTGGGCGCTTCCACTATTCGGTTACGAGTTTCCGATCATCAGTGTGTTAGTTCGTATTTAGCTCATCATCATCATAGGGCCTATGTCAAGCATTCTGAGGCGCCTACGCCTTCAGCCGCTCAATCAGACAATCTGGAAAGAAACTGACAGCACGAACGCCACTGACATCGATTAGCCGCCATTTCTTGCAACGTCTCCAGTTAAGCACAGACGGGGTCACGAGGACCCCATCCTGGAAGGCGTACAACACCAGCAACACACAAAAACGCTTCGTGATCTCTTTCACGCCTTTCTTCCAAGTCATGTGCCGTCCACTTCGCGGTTTGCGCCATCCTGAAGGAGGCACGGAGAACAACATTCGTCTTGGTACACGGTGTTCCGGTATGCGTATCACACGGCCGAGCCATCGTAGTCGATGATGCTGGATGTTTTCCCGGATCGAGGTGCCTGCAGAACAGCCAAATACCCGTTTTCTAATCACCTCGTTACTAACACACTGACGCCATCTGAAACCAGCCACGCTACTGAGGCATCGGTGGTCGAAAGCCTGGAGACGCCTCACATCATCTACCCGCAGAGGCCATGTCTCGCAGTTAGCTGGCACACTACCAAAAACCTGTAAGGAGCTCAGAGGACGAACTGTATCTACTCCTTGAGTGGAAACTTCGAACTGAGTAGTCCGCACTCAAGGGACCAGTCAACATATGCGACCACGTGATTTGGATCCCAGGATTAAAGGATGAGTGGCGCTATATAGCGTTCAAACGCGAGCTTATCACACTGCTAATCGTCTGGTCGTGACCTACTGGCTACGTATTCACAGCGCTAGTCGGGAGATCAGGGGATGTGGACCTCCTGGGATTTCGTAAGACTCGTACTGACGAAGGATAACTCCCAAAGAGGATGAACCAGATCTACAATGCTTCTCTGGTTTTCAGCATAGATTAGCTTCAATTATGAGACGAAATCTCAGACGAAATTGTCAGGTCAACTCACACCACCGATGGTCCGTTCTTTAGTTGTTTTTAGCGACATTGTTTGTTTTAGAGCAGACTACTCACAAACGACTACAGAGAATGAACCTGTTGGCGTGATTAGACATAACTATTCAGGTGTATTCGACCTACGATTTTGAGACAGTGTGACCGTTCATCGTTCGGATGTCAAATGACTGAAATAAAACAATAACACCTCCAATGATGCACACCACGAATTAACTCTATTAGAAATGAACTTCACTTTCAAAGCTTTCTTCTAAATCTGACGTTTTGCGACCAAAACAATTGAACCAGGACAAGAGGGACAAACTTAATTGGCGTGAATATGAATCATACTAAACTAGGTGTTGGTCATGTGCTTGCCAGATTCGCTATTTTATGGGTAGATTCACTGGAGTATGGGTAAACTGAAGTATATGGTAAAACTTTCCCAACTAGTCCTTCATGGCTCAACATGAGTCGCAGTTTAGAAACAAGTGAAAAGTACGGACATCTTGGATGCAACGTCATATAAGGAAATCAAGAATTCAGTGCATTTTTATTAAATAGCGGTTCGATATCTTCAGGTAATATACGATCGACACAACGGACTTTATTGAAGAAATAAATCAAAATTGGTAGATGAATTTTGCCTCCTAAATGTCTCGACAAAAGGTGACCTCATCCAAGGATCACTATCTTTCGCAAACAACTCGAAAATCTCCAGGGGAACATACAAAAACTGTCCTTTTTGACAAATTTTATCGATCAAATATGGCCCCGCAGAAGAGGCGAGCTAAGCTCTTGTGATGATTGTCTGTTAAAATCCATCTACTGGAAGACTTACCAACAACTGGTGTACATCCGTGAACTGGATTACCCTCAAAGCCCGAATTGCAGCGGCAAGAACCGTGAATGCAAGCAGCATTGGGTCCACAAACCACTCCTTCACACGGGTTGCCACCTGCGGGCTCGCATATGCCATTTACACAGGTTTGCTCACTGTTGCACGAGTCGCACGGGTCTTTGGAGCATAAACAAGAGAGAAACAAATGATATTTGGAACCTTCATCAAACATAAACCTTTTTGTGGCGCATTTTGTATGGCTATTAATTGACTGCATTACGGATTAGTCAGGCACTTCGAAGACGATAGTATCAAGATCGGAAGATTCTTTTTAGTTTTCCGACACTGTAACGGAGATATAAAGTCAATCAGTCCTGAACTCATCTTTTCTGCTCACAAGCTTTAATGTCTATTGCTTGAAACGGGCTTATATGCGCAGAAGCATCGCTGTGTGTGCATCACCTGTGCGCTCCAGGACGGATTGCGGAAAATCAGAACCCAAGCGTCTGGAAAGTACCCCTGATGAGGGCATTAATTCTAGGTCTGTTGCATAACTTCCTAGATATCACCTAATAATAAGCGGACATATTGCAAGACTATTTGTAAACACTGTATCAGTAATAGGATAGTATGTGTAATAGTGTAATATAATAGGTAAGACTGGGACGCCGTTTGGACATTGGGATATCGGACATCTGAACCGGAACATCGTTGGGGAAATACGTGTTAGTTCGGGCAAAAGGTATATTGTAATATTTTTATCCACCGAGTAAGTGCCGATGTGCTTTTCGTCAGAACTATGAAAAATATGGGATAAAAAAACAGTGAAAATCCGGAGAGTTAATGAACTACTCTGTGTTGCTGGTAACGTCTGGTAAAATGGATGGTGTAATTCGTAGCAAAAACCGTGGCCGAAGAATGCCTTATATTCAGCCGTTGGTCTCAGCTTCTTTGAACATAGAGTAGATGAATCGACTTTGTTTTGCAAGTCACTGAAAGCTGGGCATACACTATTTCTAATAATTGATTCCTTCAGCTACTGAACGAAGAAACAAATGACACGCTGCATTTTTGGCTTTTCACTTTTGAACGTTTCCACATCATCGACAGCATTAAACGTACGGACAGAATTTCCTCAAATCCCACTATTTACGCACAATACAGTCTTTTCAGTGGAGTAAAATTTATTATTCAGCATTTTTCTTTGACATGCGGTGTACAATAGGTTGATTAACTAAAACGTTTGTCTCGTTTATACAGTCACACGCTTCTCCTTTGTGATGGGCATGCACAAGCGATTTTTTGGTTTTTCGTTGGTCTTCAATTTATCAGTATACTTACTATCCATCTCCCGTAATTTGCATTAGATTAGTACATTTAAACAGCTTCTGTGATTTCTTGCGCACTCACTACCCGACGGTAGCGTTTGCGTGTGGCATCTCTATGTCTTTGAGTAGCAGCTGAAAATGTGTAGTGATTCATTACTTCAATACACTCGTTGCGGTTTAGAGAGTAGACGTCTTTGATTACCTTAACGAACTAAAATATCGATCCTTATAAGGGCTGAGCGCGTCCATTTTACGTAAGTTTACATGTTTTCGAATCCTCCCTGGAAGGACAGTCTACACGGGATTATTATGACAATCCGTGTCTAGAACCTCATCAAACCTGTGTGGACACTTAGATAATCCAGTGATGTACCAGGTTTTCTTCGAAATCAGTTAAGTCGAAAACACGTGGTCCATCTTGCACTTGGCCTTGAACATTGTATGGTAATAAAGGCAGTACAACAACTCTACAACCTCCATATATACATTCAATGAACTGCTAAGTCAGGCGCGTTTCTGGAAGTGACCAAAAGCTGTACTGGTGTTCCCAATTAGTTATTTGAGTTTACCATTAGGGTTTGATGTGTATCACACTGTGGAGGAGTTTGTAGGCAATGCCTTCACGCAATAATGCACATGAATACTTGCATCTTTTTGCTAAACGCTAGATGAAGCACATAAAAGACAAGCTTTCTACTTGCAGTCCCTTTCCTTAGATTTGAAGGTAAAGTGCTACTCTTTGCGTATCCACAGTGGACTCCCTCAGCATGTGTTTGATTAGAAAAAGCTTTATATTGGATAAATGACAATTCAGTGGTTATCAGTTTGGTATAATATCTTCAAAATGACAAATATTCCATGTTCTCTTAGTTGTTAGGCCAGGACTGGACAGGACGGGGACAGAAGTACAGCCACGCCTCATTCTCGCTTCAGCAGAGATGATTGCAAAGGGTCGTATCCGCCGACTTCCTTTTTTCTTTATACGAAGGAACATTCGTAAAACGTATTCAAGCACCAAGTTTATGCACCAATGGAAGGAATGGTTCTGCTCCATCGGTCCTCTAGTTTGAGCGGGTTCATACACAAACCGTACGGTGCTACTCCTTGCCAAATCTGCGACTGATTTATGAACAGCTGCATTGCTGTTGCGGCAAAGGATCCGCCAGGTGGTTCAGGGCTGTATCTTGGGATGGTTGTGCCTTACAGCTAAAGCGCGCATAGCTTGGCTGATCGCATTGTAAAGTCATATTTTCCAACTTGAAGAAAAGCAACCCACTAAAAGTAAAACAATTTAATGTTACAACAGCACTTTGCTTCTTCTGGTCTACCATTAACCCACTGATTCCCTCAAGCGTTTCGGGAAACTCATCCTTCCGCGTTTCAACTAATATATGTCCCCTGAGTCTACATGATCCTCTGTTGCTCTAGTAATGACCACATTTTTCTCATAAACTTGGATAAGGGTGTTGGTGATCGTTATGGATATTGGTGGGTCATGCGAGTCAAACAATACTTTTATCCACCGTCTACCTGATGAGCCCCAAGAAGGGCGAAACCGGTCGTGGGCTGCCGAAGAGTTTTCAGCAACCTTGTGAGTAGTTTCCTTTATGAAAATACTCACATACATGTTTGTTTCCGGGTTAGCTGACTTTCATGTGCATTCGGAACTAAAATAGCAACCAGTTTTGTCAAATGTTGATGTGATTTTCTGATTCTTGATTTTTTGTATTCAGTCAAATCGGTCCAATAGGTTACAGCTACTCAGTCACCAAGCAACTAACTGCATTGCAGTTAGCTCAGATTTTTGATCAACACATTGCTAAGATCTCAATGGCGTACAATGCTATGACCCAGTGAATATCCATACCGCCAACTGAGAAACCTCCGACCGACAACCAAACGTATGCTATTTGATGTTCCCGTTGCGTAGCACCAAAAAGAGTGACATTTTTGGATTCCCGAGTAATAAACTGGATGATAGCCGAGTTTCTGACTACGAGGCCTGATTCAATAGGCTACAGATAACTGAGTCAAACCGAGGGTACATGGGCTGAAATATTTCATTACACTGATTATGTGCGTTTTTGGGATATCTGAACTCGCGATCTTCAAAATATTTAGACCATTCTGGATACTATGCCCAGGATCAAGGTCAACAGCTGGACAACCGGAGTGGTCGGTTAATGGCATCGACCATTTTCCAGTCATCCTTTCCCTAGTGGTTGGAGAAAACGTAGCTCACAGAATCATCCTCTAGTGTTTTTACACTGTTATGACCACAAACAAAATGACAATAAATAATTTCACACCATTTCGTAAAACAATTCCTGTCTGTACAGAGACCCGCTGCTCTTTGGGCTGTTGCTCTGCAACCAGTCCACTAAATCAAGGTAACATTTGAGAAATACACTCATTAGCAAATCAATTTGGTTTTCACGAAAGACTCAACTGAATCTCTCGTTCATGATATTCTACAACTGAAAGTGCCGGACACAGGCCACCTCATGTTTCAGTTGGCCCGATATTCAAGATATCGCAGTATATTTTCATAACTAGCTGAAATGAGTGTATTTCTCAAAACAGTGCAATTTGGGTTCAAGTAGGTCATAAGGTTGACGGGAACTCGGGGACTGCGCCTACCCGATGAGCCTCAAGAAGGGCGAAACCGGTCGTGGGCTGTCGAAGAGTTTTCAGCAACCTTGTGAGTAGTTTCCTTTATGAAAAAAGGTAACATCTGCATTTGTGAATAGAGACCTATGAGACTGTGTGCCGTGTAGACTGGTGCGTAGTACAAGAATATGTGGATCCTCATTGACCGTACTGGACGACCTAAAGAAAGCTACGGAATCTTGATGGCTTCCAGTTTCTACCTTCCCGATTGCGACTTGCGACGAACGTACCCAAGCGGAAATCATCATCTGCCTGAGTAAAATTGAACGCGCCATAAACCGACCGGGGAAAATCCTTAATGCTGTCGCAAACATGCACGGCTTTTCTGTGGTCAAACCACTGTTGGCAGGCAAATCCATTTCGGACACCAGCCATCCATCTCATCAACAACCAGGCGGCTTCAAAATATGAACAAAGGACTTACCAGGCACACAGACGGTATTAGCAAGTGACCGTATAGTCACATGCCCCAGCAAAACGAAAATGTAGATGGACCAATTCATGCTGAAATAAATATGGGAAAATGAGGGAAACAGTGAAACTTGTACGTGACCTTTTTACGAGAAAATAATGCATTATTCAAAGTGGAATATGGAAGAAATTTTCATAGCTGATGTACTTTGACTCGATTGAATGATTACCTCATCTACATTGCTCGTTCCAACGGCACGCTATGGGAAATATGGGCATCAGTGGAGCACACAAAATTCTAGGCATAGAACCATACATCAACCAAACGAGAAACCAGTTTCTCCATTTATTCGGCCACATGGTAGACTAGTGAGTAGTATGACTGATTCTGTTACAAATTCTCATAAATAGTTAGATGAGTTTGTGATTATCACAGCCATATCGTCAATAATTATTAGAGGCTTGCAGTTAGAGGGCGATATTCTTCATACAGACTATGAATCAGGGTTTAGTTTGAGAAGCATATTGGGAAACCGAATGGGAAATACAACGTCGCATATGGAGTTCATATAGCTAAGAGCCGTAAGCCCATGACAAACTTGCAACGTCAAACCCATCTGGCTAAATGGCCAAGCACAACATCAAAGGATTTCGCGGGAATGTTGGAAGTTAAAATAACCTTTGAGTAAAAACAATGTGTGGGTTGATGGATATCAAGCGACTGTCACAGGTAAAGTCGCAAAAAGACTGCCTGTTCATGGCAATTATAAATTTCGCACACATTTCTATCAGTATTCAACTACAGTTGAGAATATGCTGGAAGGACCGAAATAGTTGGTAGTAGTCCTCCTTATGCCGCCAACAGAATACTGCAGAGAACTAGTAGAAACATTGTTACGTTCGGCGTAATGACTAACTTCAAAATACGGGTACGGGATACATTGCTTGCTCACACGTTGTTGAAAATGAATTCAACATAAGAGAACCATATAAGCGGAGTGAGCGTCGTGCAGTCATGTATAACTTTGTGTATTACCAAGGAAGTTGGTCAGAATGGCGAGTGATGATGGTTAGTTGAAGTGCACCCATAGCAGTGTAAATTTACAGAGAGCCATATTGGAGGATAGTTCACTCACTTCACCCTTCAGTGCTTCCAACTGAGATGTGAATGTTTAATTCATCAACTCGTTGGGTGGATTTTATAGGACACGGCTTTCGAAAAGGGGACGAAAGTTAAGACCATTCAGGTGAGTGAATGGGATTATTGAGGTCACACTCACGAT